CAGTGAGTTAAGATTTTAACATACATTTAGGAACCTGAACTAGTTTTTGGTTGGTTTGGCCAGTAGCTGTTCCCTGATTAAGATATCTTACCTCTCCCCTCCTCTAGCCCTCAACCCTTGTGATTAAGTTTGGGACATCTCAGAATTCTCTCATACAGCAAGGATGCCCTGATTTATAGGAGAAGGATGAAGGTGGAGGCCGCTAGACAGACAGGGACAGGAAAGAGACAAAGACCAAGAGTTGATCTAGAGCATCTGGGGCAGAAAAAATACTGAGAAAAACAGGTCTGTAAGCTCAGAAAGACTATCCTTGAGCTGGTCTCCTTGGTCCTCTGGGTGGAAGTCAGTGTGGCAAAGAGCAGAGCCTTCTCACCAATAAACAAGGTAGAGGTAAGTGATTCCCTTTTATGCTTAATTTTGTTTTTTTCTGTGTGGTTCTGGAGATGTAATTCAGGGCTTTTGTACCGTGTATTCCCAGCCCTTTCTAATGTTTCTTCTTCTTTTTTTAAAATTTTGAGACAACATCTCACTAAGTCATTAAAAGTTGCCAAGAGGGCCAGCCAGAAACTCACTGGATGAAAGCACCTGCTTAGGTAGATGCAGGGAGTGAGGTTCAATCCTTGGTGTGCTGTGCTGGCCCTGCACCCAGGGCGTGCTGAGACAGTGATTGAGACTGTGCATGGTGGCACATGCCTGTAATCTCAGCGCTTGGGAGGCTGAAAACAGAAGAATCAGTAAGAGTTTGATCTATGTAATGAGACCCTATAGACTCAATGAAAAAAAATTGCCAAGATTGGATTCAAACTTGTGATCCTCCGGACTTAGTCTCCCCAAGGTGCTGGGATGACAGGTTTTACAATATGTTTAAAAATACCATGGCACCAGAGAGATAGTTCAGGGGTCTAAGTGCCTTCCTGGCAAGTGCAAGGACCTGGCTTTGATCCCTGGTACTGCATGCCCCATGCCAAGCTGGTCACCGAAACTGTGTGTAGTGGTGTATTCCTATAATACCAGAGCTGGTGAGGCTGAGGCAGGAGGATCACTGAACTGCGTAGTGAGACCCTGTGCCAATTAATTAATTAATAAAATGATTAAAAAATAAAATAACATGATCATCTCAATTGGCACAGAAAAAACCTTTGACAAAAACCAATATCCACCCATGACAAAACTTTGATGAAGCCCCTGGGTTCTCTCTTGAATAGTGCCTACTTTTGTGCTGTAGGTGTGCCGCTTTTCCTACTTTTACTTGACCCAAATTCTCTGCAGAAGCAGGAAGATCATTGTGAGTTCCAGACCAGCCTGGGCTACAAAGTGAGTCCAAGGCCAGTCTGAACTGCATAGCAAGACCCTGTCTGAAAAAAAAAGATAGACAAAAAACAAAAAGCAACCAGAAGAAGAAGAAGAAGAAGAAGAAGAAGAAGAAGAAGAAGAAGAAGAAGAAGAAGAAGAAGAAGAAGAAA